GAATTGTGTATTATGTTTATATACCATTTTAGTATTGTTTATATGTTGTTTATCTTATGTATAACTATAAAATTAATATAGAAAAATGTTGGATCATGTTTATCTTATGTTTGAAAAAAGTAGACATATGTTTGAATTGATAAGGTCTAAGTTCAATTCGGTGTCATGTAAAGTAAATATATGTTGTTTATCTTATGTATAACTACATTCGATTTGGATTCTGCAGTCATTTAGAATTGTGTATTATGTTTTATCCCTTTTCAGTGTTGTTTATATGTTGTTTATTTATGTATAACTACACAGTTAAATTACATATTGTTTATATGTTGTTTATTTTATGTATATATACAGTGTATCTGAACATATTTACATGATCAATTTCACTAACTCAATTTTCTTAGATTACATGGACGCTACAATTATATTAAATATATTCACAATTTAAACAACTCTGTTAGATCAATAAATTTTTTCACAATAAACGAGATTAAAAAGTTATGAACAAATGAGATTTCACGAACACCAATTTTTTTCCAGCTCGTTCGATTTTTTTTTTCAAGACATGGATACCTCTCCACTGCCAGTGGTCTCATGAATTAAGCCAACTCAGACAGATAATATAATTATATTAAATATATTCATGAATTAAACAACTCAATTGACAATGACATATCTTTTTTTTTGTTCTAAATATATACTTAAATTCTTCGATTTTTTTATTATTGTTTGCAGTTAAATCAACGATTTTTTTTCAACTGCAAGACGGCGACACTGAAAAGTTGTGAATTTTAGAATTCATTCAACCCATATCGTAGCTACAAATTATTTGGTATGTTTTTCTTTTTTTTTTTTCAAAATTCCATCTTCATTTCTATCCGTTCAGCTTAATTGATTGACCTTTATGTGGAGAGAGAATCTTAATCTTCATTTGGAGAGAGAATCAGTTGATATTTATTTTGGAGAGAGAATAGGCATGACCATTATTTGGAGAGAGAATGAGATTATATGGAAAGAGAAAGAAAATCGTATATGTGAAAATAAAATGTCCACTAAATTCTTAGGTGATAAAAAAATATACAGATCGTAAATTCGTAAATGACTCTTATAGGGCATGCAGACGTGTAAATTTCCCTTAGTTATTTAATGATAGAAGCCCAAATAAAAAGAAAAGATATATTACTCTTTGTATCTCTAACTCTTGAGATAGTATTTTTAATTACGTATGATACTATTATTCATACAAATGCTACTATAATTGTTGCCTTATAACTCCTGATTAAAAATAACACCACATACAATTAATCAGAATCCTCCCTTCTTCATATATTATTCCCGAATGCAGTGAGCCTACGTGGCTGCTTCTGGTGTTTCGAAATCCTACTTGGTAAATAATTAGAGATGTTAAACGGGCTAGCCCTAGCTAGCCCTAACGGGCTTCGGGTTAAACGGTCCGGGCCTAAAAAGCCTGGAATTAAACGGGCTACAAAAAAAAAAACCTAACCCTAACCCTAGCGGACTTCGGGCTAAACGGACTATACGGCTATAATAATAATAATAATAATAATAATAATAATAATAATAATAATAATAATAATAATAATAATAATAATAATAATAATAATAGTAATAATAATCAAAAATAAAAAAAAGTAAAAAATATTAAAAAAAATATTAAAAAAATATAAAAAGAGTAAAAAATATTCAACGGCTATTTAGTATTTACCGTCTATCACTATGTTTCATGTTTTTCCTATTAGTCGTTCTGATTGACTTAAATATTTTGGTATGAAGTACAATAACAATATTGTTAATAGTTATCTTTCAAAATCATAATAATTCATTACAACTCATACTTACATGTGAAGTGGAATACCAAAATTGTAATATACAAGTAATTTAAGAGCATATTACTTACTTGATACAAACATTTACACCGCCGAATCTAGTTAAGCGGGTCAGCCCTAACGGATTTCGGGCTAGTCCTAGCGGGCTTCGGGCTAAACGGTCCGGGCCTAAAAAGCCCTGATTTAAACGGGCTACTAATAAAAATACCTAACCCTATTTTTTCGGGCTAAACGGGCCGGCCCGTCGGGCCAAGGACCATTTAACATCTCTATAAATAATCATGCTTTGTAATTAGGTTTGAATAAATAATATATTAATAGTTAATAATTTAGGTTTGGACATTCCATAAATATTATTTAGCTAACTTAAGTATTTTAATATCACTTGTACTACTATAACCCTTTATTTCTTTGTAATTTTAACCTCCCTATATATTATTCCCGAATGCGCTGAGCGGCTGAGCCTACGTGGCTTCTTCTGGTGCTTCGGAATCCTACTTGGCAAAGAATCATGTTTTGTAATTAGGTTTGGATAAATAATATATTAATAGTTAATAATTTAGGTTTGGACATTACATAAATATTTTTTAGCTAACTTAAGTATTTTAATATCATTTGTACTAATATAACTCTTTATTTCATTGTAATTTTACATACTGAGGCACTAAGTGACTAATATATCCCTGACTTTTGATTTGTTTCCTTCAATTAGCTATTGAATTATAAATATATTTTAAAAGTTGATAACTTTTGTGTTTCTTATCGGTTTTACATATATAATATATCAAATTAATCATCTTTTGATGATCTTCGATTTGACATTCATATTGTATATATGAAATAAATAAATTATGTTTATCTTTATAATAATAAAAAATAATAATATTTATTAAAATTCATTAGAAAAATAAAATTATTTCTCAATTGATATATTTATGTTTAATGTAGTTATATTTTGTAAGTTCAAAAAATTATTATAATATAAC